CTTGGATAATAATAGCCTAAATGTTTCTTGAGCATATTAGAATGATTTCTGAAGAATCATGTGACACTGAAGACTGGGGTAAATAATGATGAAAATTCAGCTTGTGTTACTACACACACACTAGATGAACTATGACAGAGGAACCAAAAAGTGATCCTTTATTTCCACCAGAGAAATGCCTGAAGACGATAGTGTGGGACCATTTCGAGTACACAAAGAAAGTAATCGAGATAAAACGATTATTGCGCCCCATTCCACCCCCTTTTCAGCGGTGCACTTTCGTTCCTCCGTAAAAGCCCAGCTTCACATGTAAATCAGTAAATCATGTAATGTGACTTTTGCAAAATGGGACGTGCTTGATTTATTGAAGTGTATTTGATTTATTCATGTTTTTAAAAGCGCTAAAGAGAACTTGTGCTTCCTCAGGAGGATTTCTGTTTAACGTCATGCGTGCAGAGACGGAACAGAACACGGACATAAAGTCAACTTTAGGTCAAGCTGTGCGCCTAAACGGTCAAATACACGCAAAAATGTGTCAAAATGCGGCGCATGTAATAAATGAACATAAACGGTTGAGAATAAAAATGCATGTATAACGGTAAATTGGATCTGTGCGGCTCTTAAAGTGACAGCGGGCTATTTTCCTGCTGCGACTGTGTGCTTAATATTAATCAAACAACAAATGCACTTTCGTTCCTCCGTAAAAGCCCAGCTTCACATGTAAATCAGTAAATCATGTAATGTGACTTTTGCAAAATGGGACGTGCTTGATTTATTGAAGTGTATTTGATTTATTCATGTTTTTAAAAGCGCTAAAGAGAACTTGTGCTTCCTCAGGAGGATTTCTGTTTAACGTCATGCGTGCAGAGACGGAACAGAACACGGACATAAAGTCAACTTTAGGTCAAGCTGTGCGCCTAAACGGTCAAATACACGCAAAAATGTGTCAAAATGAGGTGCTTAGTGATTATTCATGTATACCTTCGTCGGTCATGTAATACATGAACGTAAAGAGTTGAGAATGAAAATACGCGTGTTACGGTAAATTGGATCCGTGCGGCTCTCAAAGTGACATCGGGCTATTTTCCTGCTGCGACTATGTGCTTAATATTAATCAAACAAAAAAAGACCAATTCAAAATCACACACTGCTCGAGTGAAGGACTTTTGTAGCTTTAATAAAAAACAAAGAAAGTTTAATTCTTACAATGAAGACTGCTGTTTTATTTTACATTTGATTATTAATTTCTGTTAGCTAAATACTTGAGACTTGCATAAAAAAATCCTTAAAGCACAGTTTGTTTAATTTGTGTCTTTTTATTCTATTGCATTTGTCCTTGGCTTTTTATTACTGACAGTTTAATTATTTTAAATAATTGAGGACTTTTTTGTTTGTTACTAATATCAGCTACCCTTACAGTGTGTTCACACCAGATGCGAATGTAATTATTCGCGCGAGTAGATTACATACAAAGCCAATGCAAAGACGCGAATAGAGGCGAATTCGCGCCGGGCGACGCGAATGACGCGAAATGCGCGACGCGTTTGCCGCGAACGCGAGATATTCGCCTCAATCGCGTCTTTCGCGCAAGTTCAAAAATTTCAACTCGAGCGGAAAATTCGCCTGACGCGTTCTCGCGCAAGCCAATCAGCGAAGAGCTTATAGGCACGTCTGGTTGAATCAAACAATAGAAGAGAGCATTATTGCAGCCGTCTGTTATTATATAGGTCTGGAGCATAGAAAACAATTAAAATCAGTTGTAGTGGTAGTTGTATTTTATTAGCATGGCTACAGAGATGCTGCTATCAATAATAAAAATAATAGTAATAGCAGTGTAGATATACAGTAGTAAAATGTAACACACACATTAATACAGGATCCTAACATTATTCATCCTCCTCTGGATGGTGCTGTGAACCCAGACACGTCTGCGTTTGGCTTTCCATTGTATTTGGGACTTTTTGACAACAGGTACAAACAGCGATTGTAGTTATCTCCACCACGGTTGAGTGACACAAAAAACATCCCGCGAGTAATCTAGAGCGAGTGACGCGATGCGCATATTCGCTTCGCGTCTGGTGTGAACACACCATAATACTCTGCTGTGGTATTGAAAATTGTGAAATTTCACTGGTCTCTAAAATGTAGATGTCATAGTATTATTAACAATAATATTAAATATTAACATTAACAGCATTATTAACATATTACATAGATGTCATTGTGTCCCTGTGGCTCAGTGGTAGAGCATTGCATTAGCAGCGTGGGTTCATTTCCCAGGGAACACACGTACTGGTAAAAAGCCTGGTGTATAGCCTGAATGCACTGTAAGTCGCTTTGGATAAAAGTGTCTGCTAAATGCATTAATTTATTTATAGCAACCTACAGGAAATATATATTTAATATATAACTAATAATATATACTTAAATAACTCCTATAAAGTTTTGGTCATATGGCCCACTCATAATCGTGTTAAATAATCATGATTACAATATTGACCAAAATAATCGTGATTATGATTTTTGCCATAATCAAGCAGCCCTAGGATAAATGGTTATCAGACAGTGAATCCGTGAGTGAATGTTTGTAAATTTTGAATGGATTATAGTGCGCAATTGGCACACCCCTTTATCACTGGAAAGCTGTCACTCATCTTACTGTAGATCATCACGATCTCTCAAAGTTAATTAAAAATAATCAAAGAAGCTTTACACTGCACAATTAATATCTTATTTACATCATGTCTACACTTTCTTTCTTTTAATGTGAGAATTCGCGATCGTGTAGAACTCAGCAGAACACCGGCATTTTGGGTGGGGTGAGTGAATTGTGTTCATGAAATCAACAGATATGTCTGTGATTGGCTGTTTTGCTCAACGCTGCTGCAAACACGCCGTGAATAGAAACATATGAAAAGTCCCGAACCGCAAATTGACGGGATTTTTGTGATGGTGTTTTTGCAGCGGGTCTAACAGTTAGCAGGCAGCGCTCCAGTCTATCCGTACAGCATGTCAACATGTTACTTAACAAAATAAAATAAAATAGACACGTACACTGAGGTAGGCCTGCTGTATATTTTTATGTCTGACGGGAGAACGACTATGCCATTCTTAAAAGCGCATAGAAGGATTCAGTGTGTGTTTTTAGTTTTGTCATCTTAATTTGTTAATTATTTATTTGATTATATATTTAGTGTATGCCTATTTATTTTATTCTTTTTTTATTTGTATTATTTTATTCTGTTTTTCTCTGTTCTCAGAAGCGCTGCTGGTGCGTGATAATATGAGGATGTGCGAATCCAGGTTTTGCTGTTGCTCTGTTTGCTGCTGTTTGCAAATTAAAATAAAATATTTGTTTGTATTCTTAATGTATTATCACTAGGGTTGGGAATCGAAAATTGATTCCGATTCCAGAATCGGATACTTAAGGTCAGGAATTGGATACTTGTTGTCAAATAAAAATTTAGATTCCGCCTATCGATTCCTATGCGCTTTTTTTTTTCTTCTTCATCTGTGAGGACCGGACCTAGCGATCTAAGCGCTCCAAAGTTTGGCTACATTTGCGATCAGAAGCCAAAAACGCTAAGTATAATATCTTTGATAGCTAAACATGTTGCAAGAGAGGTGTCACCACCAACATGACAAAGCACTTTAATTTAATAGATCGTTAAAAATCACGAACTCGATTCAAACCCCAACGTGATTCTATTCCTAAATTACAATGATTCGTCTGTTTCATTCCTCAACCTTTGACGTGTGCGATCAATGTTGTGATCACTTGTTGGTTCGTCCGTGCAGAGCACGATCACATCAGTGTGATTTGAACATTTAAATTTGGGTTCGCACTGCCGTTGACCTAAAGAGAGCAGCTGTCTGTCATGAATGAAACCACAGTCTTTTCAGCCACACAGTAGGGCTGTGCAAAAAATCTAATGCGATTTTAATGCGCATCTCGTCAGTAAAGCCGCTTCTGGTGATTAGTAGTACAAGCTACACAAAATCGCTTTCAAAATCGGCAATGAATCGCATGCGATTTTGAACGAGATTTTGTGTAGCTTGTCAGTGATCTATGGCCCTGTGTAGTAAATGCCGCTCCATCTGAAAGCACGTGCTGGAGATTTACTACTAATCACCAGAAGCGGCTTTACTGATGAGATTCGCATGAAAATCGCATTCGATTTTTTGCCCAGCCCTACCACACAGTATCATTATTTCTGTGTTGTGTTTTCAAATCACAAATCACAGGGGTACTGGGATAAAGGTTTATAGATAAACTCTGATGTGTATGGTAGCGATTAAAATAGAGTAAATATCCTTTTGACAGGATTTATCGATTACATTGTTATGCCAGTAGGTGGCGAAAAGGGGCTGTTAAAATGTATTTGTCTTTGAATCATACAAGAGATTCATTCGAAAACGCTGATTCATCCAGTAATGAAACAAGTAGGCTACATCTTGAGTGAGTCATTGAATCATTCAATCATAAATTACATGTGATTTTGTTTAGTTGTCTAATGTTTTATTCTTCAGAATCATGAGAGAACCACAACTTCCATTGGGGGAAAAAAACCCTCAATTTATCCAGAGTCATGCAGTTCTATTTTGCACATAAACAGCTCTTAAAGAGTTTTTATGTAGCCTGTTGATTTTTTTTATGGTATTCAGCTCCAGTAAATGGTTTGCAAAAAAGAGACACAGGATAAATGTTTGATATCATTATTTAATCACATTGTAATCAAAACTGGGAATCGAAAAGAATCGGAATCGATAAGCAGAATCAAAATCGGAATCGGAATTGATCAAATTCAAATGATACCCAACCCTAATTATCACAGACGCTTGTCCATTCTATTTTTATTTAATACTAATTTACTCTAATTTTGTCAGTTATTAATGGTTAATGTTCGGATAACGAGCAGCGGTTGTCAGTCAGGAAAATTAACCGAAATGAGCATCCCTATTTCAGATATGAGTAATGTGTGTTATGTCTTTTTTTTTAGTGACAGAATGGGGTGATGATGTGAGACCAATGTCTGAAGATGAAGCCATGGTCATAGTCAACCATCAATCTACAGGAGATGTGTGCACCCTAATGATGTGCTTGCAGGACAAGGGCACGGTAAGCATGCCTCTGCTTGGGTTGGGGCCAGTACTGCTCTCATGGTTGTGAATTGTACATTAAATATAGGCTGATGTCACATTGATAATATTTCAGATCACAGTCAGACAACAAAACTAATTCTCATGTTCTCATCCAGGTTGTACGAAAGATGTTGTGGTTGATGGACCATGTTTTTAAATATACCAATTTTGGGGTTGTGTCCCTGATTCATGGAGATTTCTTCATCAGACAGGTAAGATATGTTCACTTAAAAAGAAAATATAGATGCTTGTAACAATGTGACAAGGATAGTGAGCTGATATACATTTGTCTGCATTTATTAAAAAACTAAATTGTTTATAGTGCAAGGGGAAATTTAGCCGTCATTGACGAGATATGTCATTACCAACAGGGCAAAGCACATCGAGAAATGCAACTAGTTTACCTGAAGGATCACCTAGACAAGAATTACTACAGCAGAGACAGGAAATGGATTGTGCTGTTTCCTGAGGGCGGCTTCCTAAGAAAGAGGCGAGAGACAAGTCAGTCCTTTGCCAAAAAGAACGACTTGCCTTACTTGACTCATGTAACACTGCCACGACTGGGCGCCACACAGATTATCCTGAACACCTTAGGACCCCAGCAGGAAAACGGCATATTGGGAACAGAGGGAAGCCCACCAGGTCAAAGTAAGGAACAAAATCAGCTCTTTTATATTTAAACAGATATGGTCTTTCACTATACTTCCCATGGTTCTATGTATGAATTACCAAATGGTATACCATTTACAGTGAGTCCCTTGTCCTTTTCGAAACGATGAGTAATATCTGTATTATGGTATCTACTAGGAACAAAACTATGCGTTGATGTAATCAGTGACGTTGGTTACGCAAATGTGTTGATGTTTTGCACTGTTTACTTTCACCACCAATCCCTTGACGTTTCACACAAAACAATACTCCCTAGAGCAGATGCTAATGACTAATATGGCAATACCCCTTACTACGGTTGTGTATCATACAGCATTTTGTTTTTTACGAACTTAAAAACCTCATTCTATTACCAAACTGACACCTGCACATTTTCAGGACTCACAACCAATATTCTTGGCAACCCTAACAACCCGCACTTTATTAATGGAACCGCACTGGACGGCTACATTGTTTTTGTTCAGATCAAAGCACAAACAACATAGAAAACGTATCCGTGTGGCGCAGCTGACTAGGGATATGCCGGTATCAAATTTTCATGTTGCGATTAATTGCTAATGCTTTTATCACGGTATACGGTATTATCACGATATTGAAATTTAGTTTAATAAAAAGTGCTGTCATAATACAGTATAACAGGTTTAATAACTTTTTTCTTATAACAAAAATAACTGAACATTTAAATGCAATAAAGCAATACAGAAAAATGTATAAAGTTAAAAGTTTTACACAGATTAAAGTGCAAAAGAACTATAAAGACCAATAGGTATCACTTTACAATAAGACCTCATTAGTTAACCTTAGTAAATGCATTAACATTCACAATGAGCAATAGCTACATTTGCTACAGAAGTTATTCATCTTTGTTAAAAAAAACAAGTCTTAGTTCATGTTAGCTCATTAAATAACACAGTTGCAACTTTGATTTTAACAACCTGTTATTAAATATTGGAATTACCTAAGATTAATGAATGTTCAGAAGAATTTTTCATTGGCAGTTTGTTTACTAATGAATGAACTAATGTTAACTAATGAAGCCCTAATGTAAAGTGTGACCGAACAATAAAGAATCAACTGAAATCCATTACATTTGTTATTGTGTTTTGGGAGGGGTTCTGGTTTTTTTTTTTCAGCAGGCAAGATTATAATGGCATAGCTACTTTTACAGAATTAACTTAATTTCACAGAAAATATTTGTTTATATTTTATAAATAAAGAACTGTATTTCTTAAGTCAGTTATTAAAGTATTACATATGTTACATAGGCTGATTTATTCATTTTAAGTATTTGAGATTTTAAGATCAAGTGGAAAATGTGCTGAATGTTGCATTTCATCCAAGTGAAATTAGCAAGCAGTTAGACTGAATTTACATTCGTTTTAAACGCGGAGCCAGGCGCGAGTCGACACAGGTTGCGCCGCTCGTGAAGACTTGCGGTGCGGAGCCGGGTGCGAGTATAAACGAGCATTACGAGACAGACTGCTTGAGTGCAGCAAGCGTGAACTGTGTCTGTGATGCGGGATTCGCGCCGCGTGGGGCAGAGAGGAGCGAGTATGAGAAGCATTCACAGACACAGGCTGTGTGTGCACTCTTCTGAATTGGGAATAGCGAACATGCATCATAAACTTATTTCAAATTAATCTGTTGGGGAGATAAAATGTGTAAGATAACGTTCACGTCCTAACAAAAACATCTAAGAATGTATCTTTTATTCTCCAGTACTGAAAACAGAACCGATACGGGAGCTTTTGTGCGCTCACTCTATTGGTTAGTAAGACTGCAACTCAAGGCTGGCAGTCATGCATATGCTCTGGGACAGAGTAATATCGCATCCACATCGCAGGCTTTGCGATTAGGAAATCGTAACGTCTCAAATTGCGATTTCGATTCGATTTCAATTAATCGCACAGCCCTACTATATAGTAGTAAAACGCATGTGAACAGTAGCCTACTTATTGATCAGTTCATCAGTAATATTCAGGAAATAATAGATATTGCCCTGCCACCCCCATC